ACATCTAGATAATTCATTTTTACAATGAGCTCATATGGTTTAAGGTAAATAATTATATTTTTTAATTATTTTTTATTCATTAACTCCTACAAATTAATATAACACTTCTCAATTACCTAATATTCTTATTTCTTTATGTATAATACTAAAATAATAATATATTACCAATTTTAGAAAAAAAATAGAATTTTGTTAAACATTATTGTTATTTAATTGTTAAAAGTAAAAGACATATATTTGGCACAAAATAACATTAAAACTAAAGATCATAGTCTAAAATTGTGTTGGTTAGATAGATTTTTAAATATTGGCGTCGACTCATCATCAGTGGCAGAGCCATAAATTTTGATAAATGGATACAAATATTGTCAAGATTCAAGATATTAATGCAAAAAATTTCTTAAATATTTAAAGTCATAAATAAAAAAAACATATAATTTAAGCAAAAGTTACAACTGAATCATCCTAGTCGTCATGTCTTGAAATCAATCAATGATATCGTCATCAAGAATCTGTAGAAACAAATCATTCTTAATGAAGTGTGACTAAAAAATCGTTTAAAACTTGATCATCTATGTGATTCCGCAATTTATTCTCACTACGCTTGTTGTAGCAACCAGAAAAGATATATTTTACGTAGTTTTTCTATCACAATCATTAAAACATGGTACAATCCCTTTGTCTGTGGGTACAATAATATAACACATATTTACAAATAATTATATATAAGACATTTTTTTGGGATTATGTAGTACCCCACCGTCTCATGTAGCTTCGCCATTGCTCAATCATTCAACATAAAGCATGAAATAATGGAACCCACCTTGTTGAATTGCTTTGCATGACATCTTTAATCAGTATGGGAAGAAGCACCCATAGCTAATTGTTTTTGCTATCAAGGCCTTGAAGATTTTAGTTATTTTTTACCGGGCTTTTATAACTGACATAATATATGTTGCACTAAACTCTTTCTGCCTATGGGGACATGTCAATGTTTCCACTTGCATACTAATAAGTGGTTCCATTCAAATTCCACAAAGAGCCGGGTTTGAATTGTTTAAGTTTTGGCTAGCTATCTTGGTAATTAATAAGATTTACTCTTCGAAATCTACTCTAATAAATGAAATTTTTTTTTTGTCACTTGTCATACTCTTATTCAAATTACCAAATGTCATTTTTGGTTATTTTGAATTAATTTTTATTCCACATGTCATTTTATAGTTTTTCTATTTTATTAAATTCAACATAGTATTTAAATACAATAATAAATGCATATTAGTTTTCTTAACGAACTTTCCTTTTAATTTCAAAATTGCTTCATTAATTTCATTTATTTATTTATCTGAATTATTTGTTAAATTTAAAGAAAAAAACACTTTAATTTTTATAATTCAATATTTTTTCATTTTTGTTATAAATTCAAACTTTTTAGATGTTTAGAATTTTATATTTAGTTTTTTCTTTTAAACAAATTCATGTAATATATGAGTCTCGTACCTAGTATCTTATTATTTAAAGCCAAAAATCCAAAATATTAAGGAGGTCGATATATCGTAGCAATTAATCTTGAATAACTTATATATGCATTCAAACAAAATTATGTATGTAATTCAAACATCTTACACGACCATTTTAAACTCATGAAAAAAAAAAGACTATTTTATTGCAGCACGCTTTGATAAACCCAGACTTTTATTACAGTCGGCAGATAATTTACTCTGTATGATGAGTGTGATCACCAACATTCATAAAACTTGATATCAACACGAAGCCTGAAGTACACATCCCCTTCGTAAGAATCAGTCATAATAGTTGCAATTCCCCGATGCATGAAGAAATCTCCAGTCCCACCAACCACCGATATATCCCTACTCTTCACCATAATCGGATCAGCCCCAATGAAGTTTATGGTTCCTTTATGTTGTGCACTATTCAACACAAAGGAAAACCCTAGCCAAGCAGTAAATGTGTTCTTGGTGTCATAAAAATACATCCCTTGAGCCCGACCTACTGGAACAGAATGAAAATTGTTATCTAATGTGATTGGATCGTCAAAAACTGCTATATTCCCAAAATGAAACTTGTCTGCTAATATTGTGAGGTTTCCCCATTGGGGTGCGCCTACAATAGCAGAAGTTGCATTAGCAGCATTCTGGCCATTATAGATAACGTCATGAAAATATAAAACTAAGTTTTTGCATGGATAGTGTTGTCTTTTTATGCCTGGATATGCTGATATTCCTAAAAAGAAGAAGAAGAAGAAGAAAACAAAAAAGTACGGTGTTTTCATCTATAATTGAGGTCTTGAAATTCAACTAGACAGAAAAATGAGAGATATAGAAGAGGTTTGTGGGTTCTCGATCTATAAGTTCTCCTCCTTATATAGGGTGGTTCATGGATAATCTAATAGTGGATTATACATCTTACCAGTTGCAATATAAATGATTAAATTCTAAGTATTAAGTCATTATATCATGTTATTATATTCTGTGCATATGGTAAAATAAAGTTATTAAATCTATATAGCAAGTTGACATAACATCATTGATAATGATTGTACTTTATCTATTCTCGTCACGTGAGTAAAGTAATATAATCTCATATATAGTGTTCCGTATAGTATGTCCAATAGTTGAAAAGTGGAATTAAATGAAGCCCTGAAATGAAACTGACATGCTTCCTTGACCATCGTTGCTATGTGTTTTTTTTGGCATGCTTCATTTTTTTTAACCACAAATATTAAATTAAGCAACAAGATGGAAGGATAAAAGCACATTCTTTGCACTTCATTTAAAGTCGCACGATCTGAACAAATGATCCACTCTGAAACTCTAATAGAAGATGAAAAATCAATATCCCATTAACGACTAATGAAAGATACTACGAAACAATAGATCAAAAAGATGATCAATTGTTTCATGTGAGAATAGCAAATATGACATAGAAAAGAGTCAATATCAATCCCTCAGCTTTGTCCAGAATAAATTTGGTAGGCACCATGTTTAGACGCGATCTCCACCCAAAACATTTAAGTTGATTGTAACTAAATAATTTCATCTAGTTGGATTATCCCTCGCAAACAAGTCTATCATTTTGCTCAAAAATACCAACCGAATGCGAAATCTCTTTCAACTCAGTGCATTAATGTTCACCTTCTCTGATTTCAACATAAACACCCAGTCCGGATTTGGAATGGAAGTCGGTCATCAACTGTATATTGAACTCCAAACGAAAAAAATCTTGGGAATTGGTCCTTAAAATGACTTTAAATTGTGGCGAGATGTGACAATATTGAATCATTAATTAAGTTTGTATAATGTCTGTTTTATATTCATTGAATAAACATTTTAGATATTTAATGAAGATTTTAATAAATTTATGTGATACTCTGATATGGAACAATACTTTGAAAATAATGATTTTCTATGACTTGGGGTTGTTTTAAAAAGTTGAAATTTGTTGTGATTTTTATGGATGTTACAAGTTGGTATCAGAGCCTTGGTTTGAGGGAATTGGAGGAACACTCGTGTGAATCCAGTCTCAAGCTAAGGAAAAGATTTTAAAAATGACTTTCAAATTGTTTACAAAATAACTAAAAGAGGATGTGATGTGTACGATCTGCCAGAGCCAGTAAGTAGACCCCAAATTACCACACTGTTATTTGATATGGTCAGAATCGAGTTGTTGATAGGACAAAAAAAACAAAAAAAACCAAGTGATGAATAACAAATCAAAGCATGTTTTGAACAGACCTTAGGCTTGAAGCAGAAGAAGAAAGGAAATAAGCCGAAAAGCCCTACTTTTTAGATAGACGAAGAGATGATTTATGTATGTATCGTATTAAAATTGGTATTTTTTACATGAGTAATTAAAGAAGTTAACTAGAAAATTCATTTTTGGAACAATGGAAAATAGCCAACTTACAAGTTGCTAAAAGACAGAATATTAAACAACACAAAGTTGGATCCTTTTGGGGACAATTAGAAAGCAAAATTCCATTTTATATGTTCCTCATCTTTTAATCATGGCCTACCCATTATCATTTACTTATATCATCTTACAATAAGAAATATTAATTAATCTTCAATATGTATCGTGTTTAATTTTTATGTAAAAAAATTCTGGATCCATTACGGATACATGAAAATAGTTAATAAAAAAATCAAATACCATATTTATACGTTTTTAAAGGACATTATGATTATGAAGACCTAAAGTTAGAACATTAAATAAGATATCAGTGGAAAAATTAGTGTTGTTTACTCTAATGAATGCCAAACAAACTAATCATTTTAATATAAAAATTGATATGAATATACTTAACTTTTTTTATAAACAACTAATAATTATACTAAAATGTTCACTAATTATCAATTAACATGAAAAGTATAAAAATATCTTTTGTTATTGAGGTTGGTAATTAGTTGGGTTAAATCTAATAAATGATTATAAAACTTTTATTTGTGGATGTTTTATAACATTTAAATTTAGTTTCTTCTGTTTTAACATTAACTATACTTTTAAATTTATTAAAGCATCCTACTTTTAAGATATACTTAACTGTAGTATAGTATTTTTAAAATTTTCATTGTTTTTGAAAAACTTATTCCAACTAAATATTGAAAATTATTTTGTATTTGGTTATACAAATATAAATACATGGTGTAGGGGAGCATGAGGGAGGTGTAGAGGAGCAGGAGCGGTGAACGGCTGGAGAAAGAAATTCGAGGCGAACAAAAATATATGAATTAGATTATCCGATCCCAAAATCTATATTGCAAATATTCAAAAATGGTATCCGATAAATAATAATACATTATTATATGAGTAAATTACATGAACGGTCCCTATGATTTGGGGTAATTTGCGCGTTTGGTCCCTAACTTATTTTTTTTAACTCGGAAGGTCCCTAATGTTTGTTTTTGTTACGCACTTGGTCCCTACGGTTTATTTTAGTTACGCATTTGGTCTCTATCTTACCTAAAAAGACTATTATTTAAATATGAAAAAATGGTGGGATAGTTAAGGTAAGGTGAGGAGGGTGGGGTTGGGGTATGTTTATTTAAATAAATTTAAAAATGAAGGGCAAAATAGTATTTTTAGGTAAGATAGAGACCAAACGCGTAACAAAAAACAAACAGTAGGGACCTTCCGAGTTAAAAAAATAAGTTAGGGACCAAACGAGCAAATTACCCTAAACCATATGGACCATTTGTGTAATTTACTCTTATTATATATCTAAGACATCTTTGAATATGTGAAACCTAGAGTGATTTGTTGATCTCTATATCATTATTCATTTGTTAACATAATTAGGGGCGTCGTTGAGGATACGTGAGGTGAGCGATTGTACAATGTCCATGTTTTAGAAGAGATCCAATTTCATAATTTAAAAGACAATTTCATAATTTAAAAGACAAAAGCTCATTTTCAATTTTAAGAGGTCACTCTACAATTAAAATTAAAACAACATACTTTTTAGAAAATTGGACTTAAAGTAAAAATTGCATTTATGTTAATAATGGGCTAATGTAGATTTGCGGCAATTAAGAACTTACGTTTTGTTCCAATTCTAAATTTCCAAATTTGCGGCAATTACAAAGCTCAAACGTTGTTTTTTTTTTGTTTCTTGGTAATCTGATTTCACTTTACTCCACCTCTCATTTTTTACTGTCGACTGAAATTAAACAAGTATTCCAGTATTCCAGTATTTCTAATTTCTGAATATGATAGTATCTCGTTTTTATATTTTGATTATTGTCGTTGATTAACGAATGTAACAGAAACGAATTTCTCATTTTTTGTTCCACGCTAACACACGTATTTTGAATGACTGAATTTCTGACTTCACATTAGTGCATTATGGAAACTGGTTTCTTTTTGAGTGATTTCTCTAATTGTTAGTCCCATGTGGCATCTGTAATTTTATTCCTATTTTGTGGCATCCCGTTGGTTGATTAGAACAATGTTTATGTCGTTGTTGTTAATGTTATATATTTTATAAATTATGCTTCCTAAGCATCTAGAACAACATGTGTGTGTGATATATATATATATATATATATATAATCTATAATATATATATATCTATATATTATACTATATATAGTCTATATATATAATATATATCTATATATATATATAGTTGATAAGAAACAACCAGGTAAGATCGTATCGGAGGTAGGATCCATTTGACATATACATATATATTGTTCGGAAAATCCACTTTAAACAACTCACTGATCTTTCCTTGACATCATTCCTGCAAGTAGATCAGTCAGTACAACGACTAGTATTAATGATAAATCTTACTTATAAGTTCATAATAACGATTATAAACATAAATATAAGTTATACTTAAAACACGGTAAGCATAACTCAACTTACAAGTTGTTTGACGAAAAATCGGATATTAAGCGGGCGGAACTTCGAAACCGAAAGCTCTATTTCTCGGGGATCTCTCACGCTCCAGAGCTTCGCTACTAACACCTAAGAAGTACTAAGATCGGGCCTCGGGACCTCAGGAGAGTTTAGGAGAAATTGGCAAACAAATGAGTAAGAAATCGACCATATTTATAGCAATTCAGGAGGGGCGTGCTGCGTGTGGTGATGTGGCAACTTCTCCTTAAGCCACGTGCCAACATCTGGTTGAAAGCCTTCGGGAAGAAGGGTGTAATCTGATCGCGCCACCTGTCAAGATCTGAGTCGTCCAGATTTATTAATTTTCTAAAATTCATAACTTTTGCATACAGTCTCCGTTTTCGATGATTTTTATATCCACGTGTAGCTATCAAAGAGTACTGAAACTTTTATCTAGACTTTGTCGACTAGTTCTCAAGTTCTTCATGTTTCGATTCGAGGAGACTTAGACTATAAATAACGCTGTGAAATTCATAACTTATCAATACAAACTCCGTTTTCGACGTTCTTTGTATCATTGACTTTGTATCGACGAGTACTACAAAATAAGCACAATCATGAAAATTTGAAAAAAAAATATTATTTATTTATTATTTTTTTTATAAAAAACCCAAAAAAATTATAAAAATTTAAGGGATACTTCTACTCAATATACTAGTGACTTTGTAAAAAGAATTTTTCAAAAATAAGTTTTTGAAGTATTTATTTATAATTCTAAGAAATATTAAATTTTTTTAAAATGTTGAACATAATATGATCCAAAATGTGATGATTCAAAATATTTATGATTTAAAAAAACTTTTGATTCAACTTGTTTATGATCTAAAAATATTTAAACTCAAATATTTTATAACCCTTAATTATATCTTTTATGATTCAAAATTAAATGATTCAAAATATATAATGATTCATATTTTTTTAAACAAAAACTATATTTAATTGAATATATTATTGATCCAAAATCATATGATTAAAAAATGATTTGATTCAAAATACTACGATTCATAATTTTATGATCCAAAATTAATATGATTAAAAAAAAGTATGAACGGAAAATATTATGATCTTTAATATTTTTCTTATTTAAAATTTTATAATTGTTAAATATTAAAAACTCAAACCGATACTTAGTTTAAAAAATAAAAATTAAAAACAAAAAAATTAAAAATTAAAAACAAAAATAAAGAAAAACACCAGTATCTTTAACTATGTACTAAAGATATTAAAAAAACGAAAAAAACAAAAGAACAATAATTTAAAAAAAAAAAAAAAATTAAAAATGTTAAAACCGAGGATATATATCTATTGTAAAAAAAATTGAAAATTTTTTTAACGAAAAATTAAAAAAAAAATAGTAAAAAAAAACGAAAAAAATAATAAAACTCACTTAAATGACGTTCAATGAACGTTCGCCGCACGTGATTAAATCACCGAGTTCGTATTAGTTACAACGGACGTGAGTCGTATGCTAACGCATAAAGACCAAGTATTTGGGTTTGATGTTTGTGCTATTAACCAAATGGTTAGAGGAGAATTTTCCTCAAGTTCTCACCATTTTATAAGTTATCACTAGAACCGGACCTTTTATATATATATATATATATATATATATATATATATTATATATATATATATATATATATATATATATATATAGGTTGGATCAAAATACAACCAAAATTATCCATAGAACCATAGAAACACCTTAGTCACTCTTGAATCAAATGACAGTCATTAAGGGTATAATAAATTTAATTAATTATTATACAAAATAGTAGGAGATTCTTATAATACACATTTATGTACAGTTCTGAACATACGTATATGTACATACTTGTCATATTAATGTTCGTAACTAAACATACAAAAACCCATAAATTAGTCATAATCGTATATGTTTATAAGTGAACATTTATGAAGTTACTATCAGAAATGAACATTAAATGTGCAGTTATCAAAATACTTATATATACATACTTGTTGTCATATTAATGTTCATAACTGAACATACAAAAACCCATAAATTAGTCATATATTTATAAGTGAACACGTATGAAGTTACTATCCGAAATGAACATTAAATGTATGCATCTTCACATGTTCACTTGCGAATGTAAGTCATGAACATATATTTAAAAACCCAGAAATTTGTTATGTTCATAAATGACATTTGTATAAAAACAATAAATTATGTAAATAAATTCATCAATATCCCATATGAACCAAAAAAGCCCACATACAAATTATGTAAAAAAGAATCTGTCAAACCCAAATCCAGTTACCAAATAACCTCAATTCATATAACTAAAGACGCCTAATTTCCTCATGAACAATACATTCGTTCAATGTAAACATATAGCAGAAAAATGAGATATTAAACATCTTTCGATGTCCCACTTTCATATTTTACTTTAAAAATCTTGTGATTGGCTTCCATGGTAGCCTCTGAAAATACATTTACACATATTACCTTAATAAACAAATCAAGAATGATCTATAAAATAAATATGAAAAAAACGGGGATTGAAAAAACAAGACGTACCAAAGCCACCGCCTTCGATTAACAACAGGTAGAGGAACCTTCAAGATATGTTATATGTATCAAACAAAATAAATTTTTAGATTAATCTTGTATCACAACCACCGATGATGTTTATCACATAATCAAATAAGTGGATTAACATGAAAAGTGAACACATAATTTCCTTAATAAAAAAATAAAGGAATTATGAAGACCCTCAAATCCTACAATGACTAATTTAAAGTTATTAAAAGATGCATCTTAAAACATATCTTCCTCAAATCTTTATTGCATCACAAAAGAGTTGATATTCATGAACAGCTTTGTCAGAAAATTAACGGCATGCAACCTTTTCCTTAATGTGGTTTATGAGTATTTTTTATATCATGGAGAATTGTATGGTGGAATGATATTTCGGGTTAAGCAATTCGATAAGCAGATTAGATAAGCAGACGGCTAATTTACAAAGAAAAAGAATATACAATCAATTTATCTAATTTATAGGGATTATGATTTTTTAATCCCGATTATTCCCTCATTAGTATGTGATTCTATGGAAAAAGGTGTATAATATTATTATGCACATTTTTAATCTAATTCATTGATATAAGAACAAATTACATGAATGGTCCTTAAGGTTTTGTTTTTTTTCCCTAAAATAGTCCCTACGAAACCTTTTTCCCTCAGATGGTACCTACGGAGCAAACATTGCACACAAAAGGCCCCTATGACTAACTTTGTTAACAGATTCTGTTAAGTTTTTTTAAATGACAAAAATACCCTTTGTTTTATGATGGTCCTCTCTCTCTCTCTCTCTCTCTCTCAAGGACCATTCGTGTAATTTGTTCTCAATAAAAAAAATACACACCCCACCTCTCTCTTTCTCTCATCAAGAAATCAACTGATTAATTCTCAATTCTAATCTCAAAAGAAAGAAAATCATGAGCAGGGTTGCGATTTCTTCTCCAGGAGATCTTGATTTTGGTGGTCTAGTGAGCCATCAGTTGGATGTCCCTGACGCAATTGGGAAGATAATCTTCAGGTAATCTTCCCTTCTTATCGTTCTCATCATGGAAATGGAGAATCGGAAGGCAACATTACAGTGGATATACTGGAGACACCCAAGGAACTGATTATGTACATGGACGTACCTGGTTTATCCAAATCTGACATCCAGGTAAATGATTAGTTGATGTAATTTGAAGAAAATTAGGGATTTAGAGAGATCGACCGAAGTTGTATGATTGTTTGTTGTATGTGACAGCAGAGGATGAAAAATTACTGGAGGTGAGAAGCAATGGGAAGAGGAAGCATGAGGAAAATGAGGAGGAAGGTTGCAAGTACCTGAGATTGGAAAGGAGACATCCTCAGAAGCTTATCACAATTGCAATCACAGTTGCAGGTGACGTTTGGAAAAGAAAATTCAAGAAATCACAGTTGCAGGTGGCGTTCGGAGGTTAGGAACACGATTGGAAACAGGCAGCCAACAATGGAGGCTTGGTGGTGGTTACACAGTCGTGAGGAGGGAGATCCGATCTATAACGACCCTATGGGGGTTTAATATGCGTCGTCGCCGGTTGAGAACCAAGGGAACAAGTCTCCGTCTTCATCTGATCAGGGAGCAAAATAGAGAGATAGGGACGAAAAGAATAACAACGATCAGCTCCGATTAGGGGGTGTTTATGGCTATTGGGTATCGACAGGAAGGAAAAAAAGAAGGGCTATTGCGCTATTCTAGTGGCCGGAAAACGTACCTCCGGTAGGTGGTTCTTCCACCGTGTGAGAGAGATATAGATAGAATGGTTAGAGAGAGAGAGGGTCTCACTTTTTTTTTAATTTCAAATTAACAAAATATTAAAAACAAAATAAATAAATAAAAACAAAGGGTATTTTTGTCTTTTCACATACACTTAACAGAGTATGTTAACAAAGTTAGTCATAGGGGCCTTTTGTGTGCAAGGTTTGCTCCGTAGGTACCATCTGAGGGAAAAAAATTTCGTAGGGACTACTTTAGGGAAAAAACAAAACCTTAAGGACCATTCATGTAATTTGTTCTTGATATAATAATCTTAAAGTTACAAGGTTACTTTTATGGTTCTATAAGTTAAAAGTGGTCCTCTCTCTCTCTCTCTCTATATATATATATATATATATATATATATATATATATATATATATATATTAGAATATATATATATATATATATATATATATATATATATAGGTAGAGGTTCATTTGAGACCAATAGTTTTTTGTGAGACATAGGGACAACATCTTAGCCTTTGATCAAAATTGATCCTATGGCTTATCAAAAAACGTGATTAAGACTTATTAATGTACCTGATTTGTTAATTAAGGGTAGATTAGTCATTGTTAGGTTAAACAGATCATCAACATACCTGTTACAAAAATTAGCTTCATATTCACGTAATCAGGATCTTTATCTCCTTCGATCTTCAAGTCTCATGCCTGATCATCGTTGCTTTAGGATAGATATTCATTGATCGATCAATTATCCTTCATATCAAAATCATCATATTCACGAAATCAAGATCTTCATCGCCTTGAATAGGTATGTATTTCTACCAGATCAACGCGATTTTGAGATTGACATTCATTGATTTATCAATTATCCTCTCCTATCAAAATCTCAGCTATTAAATTCACGATTTTAGTGATTTGCTAGTTCATCTTCTTTCTTCTTCATCTGATGATTGTTTGAGTTGGAGTCGTTCAATTGTAATTGCAAAAATGGGTCAATATATTCATGATTTTCTTAATTAATTTTGTTCAATCGCAAATTGCAAAGCACATAAGGATAAGTAAGGATCGATTTTCTTCAATTCATCATCAATAAGGAACAATTTCTCCATTATAGAACAATTTCAACAACTCATCATTAGTAGCAATTGATGTACCATCTATTTGAGGACAGAAGAATTGGAGTAATTGTTTGATACGCCAATTGTTTGATGAAATGCCTAAGAGAATAATCATAACTTAAGTTCTAATGCATTTAAACTCTAGATATGCTCCTAATTAACTGCTATCTAGTAGCAATATTATGGCACTGAAGTGTGAACTTTACATATATAAGTTGAAGATAAGCACAACAGAACAAAATCGTTACATCAAGTCAAGTGATCATGCACCTTCACTAACCTTGAAATGGAAATGGATACTTATCAAAAGTTTTTTTTTCCTTTGGTTTGCCTCTAAATGATTAAATCATATTCTTGTTGATATAAATGTTATTCTTTTTCCATCATATTTAGATAAGTACACTAAATGGTGCATATATGAAAGATTGGTGTAATCATTGTAGGGAAATCTCATACCATGTTGATGCTTGAAGCTTGAAGCTTGAAGCTTGGAACATGTTTCCTCTTTGTTTTTATTATTTTGATTATTTGAGTGAATGGTTTAGATTATTTACTATCCTCCTTGTTAGTATCATGTGAAGTAAATGATGAATTTGGACCAGTTTAGCGTGAAGCAGAAGTGGTACTTGGTCCCATTTCATCATAATTTTTTATTACATTACATAGTACATAGTATATTATTCTGATTAGAATAATTGAAAAACATTACTCATACGTCCTTACTTATTCAGAAAATTAAGTTTAGAATACAATTTTGTAAATATTTATACAATAATAAATATTAATGGAATACTTTTTTGTAGGTCAAATTAATGATGGTGCTGAAGAATCACACTCAAGCAATGAACTTAGTTCAACTAATGATTATTTAGTTTGGATTCTGGATATTCTACATGTACAGATATATAATGTTATAGTCTACTTTGATTTTTGTTTGTTGAACTACTCAATTAGTTCCATATTTCGTTTCGAATATGATACATGATATAGTGCACATATTTAATGATATAGTCTATTATTATATGTTCTATATTGATAATACTGATATCTTATTGAAGTGTATAATTCTATTTTTAATAATTTATAAGTGTAATATTCTAATATACATTTATAAATGATGATGTAATTGAATGTGTTTTCTTACCATGACTAATATTCTAGATTTGATTATTGTTATGTGTTATATTCTATATTGATATTTGTTGCTGATATAATCAAGTAGTGTTATATTTTAAAAAGCTCATTATGTATAAACTTCTGAAAACTAACAACATATAACATTATTCTAATAGAATGTTCTACATATACTACACATTATTTTCATGTAATAAATTAACTTATTTATTTAAAAACCTATAACATAATTTTATTAGAATACAGATAACATATAACATTATTCTATTTGAATATTCTACATATACATATTATTTTTATTTAAAAAATGAAATTATTTAACAAGAAACCTATAAAACTATTTAATTAGATTATCAACATGATACATCATGCGATAGATTCAAATATTGTATCTAGTTTGATTTTGTTTTCTATTTCATATTATTAGCCATTTAAAAGCTTTGATTTCAGCATTATATGACCTTAGTGTGTTTAAGTGCATCATTCTAATGATATTAGAAAATTTTAATTTTTATTCTATTAGAATACTATATGTATAAACATTTATACTATTAGAATATTACACAAATACGCATTGATTTTAAAGTTAATACCAGAAAATCTAGAATTTTATCATAATATTATTCTATATGGCTTTTTTTTAACTCAAAGTAATGATGTTGTAGAGGAATCTCACTCAAGTAACATATTCATTGTAGCTAATGGTTCTTTGGTTTACATTCCAGATGTTGATTCTAGTCACACCTGATATAGATACAATATTTAATGATATTAATGATGAGGCTATGATTCTCTACAATTACATTTTAAATGTATCAAAAACATTGGAAAATATATGATGACTACAACAGTGCAAGAAAAAACTTTATCATAATTACATCATATTTCCAACCATACCTAGTATTTTATTAAACATAACAAGGAATTCGAACATTCAAAACGTAACTATTGTTCATACATACTTTGTTCAAAATACAGAAAACGTAAGAAAGAAAATGATTGAATGTCATTCACAATCACACATTTCCAAACTTCCATTAATTCTATTTTTGGATCCCTTCCAATGCATTCTTTTTCATCAATCCATTCCCTCTTCATCTTATGCCAAGTTTCTTTATCAAGATTTTCATATTACTTAGGTTCTTCAATAATCTTTTTTCTTCTTATTTGATCTGCATCAAATTATATAGTATAAATCTGTTGGAAAAAAAACATATGCATTATTTCATAACCTAATATAAAATCGAATACAAAAATATGTACATTCTAAGAATAATCAACATGGTAAAAAGTAGAATATAACACTTCACAATACCTTAACTTAGAATATTTATGTCAGATCATCATATATATTAGTGTGTTTAATGTTATACCTTGACATTTATTTCAAGCTCTGATGAGGACCTATTAGTTGAGCTATCATTAACTTCCTTAGCTTTAGTATCAACAACATATTTTGCTCTTGACTTAGTAATTCTTGTCACTTGATTTGCATAAAAACATATACATTCAGTTGAGCAATATGTACCTTGAACCTTGTAATGTGATAATAAGTGTTAGATTACATCTTGATATTATCAGTTAAAAAATGAGTTCTCCATATGAGGTTTAGCAAGTTTAATTAGATACTTACATTCAGCCTGCGACTGCTAAATGACAACAGAACAAAGGATTTGACAATTTCTTAGAATATTTGGAATAATTAATTTAAAACAAATATATATCCTTAGAATATTTAGAATAATTAAGCTAATTACAGAGATAACTGGTTTTAAGGTGTGCTATTTACATCTTTCGTCGATTATCCATGTAGACATCAATTTTCTTAAATGCATCATCACTTTCTCCATTACAGACATCTATTTTCTATATTTTGTATCACAACATCGGTTTCCAACAATTCATCATCACATAATTTTGCTATTACTAAATGATTATCAACAAGGGTTCATTTTCATCAATTTATCATAAATTTTGCTATTACATAAGGATTATCAGCAAGGATCTATTTATTAGCAACTCATAATCAATCGATGTTCAGCAATACATCATTAAAATGGGAATGAACAGGATACTAACTCAAATATACTAAATCAGAAAGGCTAGAATATTATACTAGAAGCTAATATATAAAACATAATTCCTAGAATATTTTACTACACAAATCAAAATGACTAGAATAATATGATATATAAAATCAGAATGGCTAGAATATTGTACTAAACATCAATGTTTTAAAATTCATCATCAGTTTCTCTATTACAGACATCTAAAAATTTTACTGAAGGATTATCATAAATAACTGATTTTAGACATCGATTTTTTGTAATCTCATGTCAGAACATCAATTTTCAGTAATTCATCATCAAAAAATTTTGCTATTACTAAAGGATTAAAAACAATGATTGATTTTCAGCTATTTATCATAAATTTTTCTATTACAT